TCGTTTGAGAAAGATGAGAGTGACATCTACTCGCTTCCACGAGGTATGCCATGTTCGTGAACATACATCTGCAGAGAATCTGGCTGAGAGAATTCTCAAGGGGACTGGTCAGACCACGAACATGAGGAGAGGTATTGATATGGAGCCACTCGCTGTTAAAGAGTATTGCACTCTTAAAAACGTGAACTGTGCACCCTGCGGGTTCATTGTACATCCTGATGCTCCATGGCTAGGTAGCTCTCCTGATGGAGTCATCTTTGATCCCTCTGGGAACCCACCATTTGGTCTCCTTGAGGTCAAATGCCCCAATATCCAGAGCTATGTGGACTGCCCCTATCTAAAAATGTCCGGTGGTGCTTTGAAACTCAGGAGGCAGCACAAGTACTACTGGCAAGTTCAAGGTCAGATGCTCTTGACAGGGCTAGAGTGGTGTGATTTTGTTGTTTGTGCTCAGGAAGACATGTTAGTCAAGCGAATTTATAAAGATCTTTATGTACTGCACAACATTAGAGAGAGCAGATAATTTTTTCTTTTACCACTACATACAGACGTGTTTGCAGTAAGTCACTCCAATGGCCTTGGGCATAGTATCTTTCAATAAGTTTAATCAGTTTCAATCAGTTCAGTGAGTTCAGGTGTTATTGTTAATTTTTACAAATCTATACAATAACTGAACTGATCTATTGTTAATTTTTGCGAGTCTATACAGTATTCAAACTGATCTGTTGTTCATGTTTGCAAGTCTATACAATATCCGAACTGATCTACTGTTCATGTTAGCAAGTCTATACAAAATGGAAATCGTTACTTAGTATACAGTACACATACTGTTATTGTTTTGCTGTTACACTGTATACTGCTGTTGTTCACAGATATTTTTATACTGTTACATAACTGTCAATGTAGACTAGCATACAATAGTACAGCTTTTCCCAAAGTGCACATGGACAATCAAGTTACTGTTGATGGGCTCTGAAAGGGATTTTGTGTACATATTTATTTATTTGCTTGCTTTAATAAGTGCGAAGGAATGTTGTATGTAACTATCATAATAAATGTAATTCGTGAATATAACTTATGACTCAACATTCAAATAAATAGAAAAGACACTTGAAAATACTGTTTCTTAGTCTTGTATTTCACCATAGTTGTAAATAAAGATTTGAGCAGGTGGCAGAAGATTGATAGAATTAGAACTGTGTTGCAATTGTAGGTTTAAGTATGGCTGCTCTAACAAAGGAAGGAGGTCAAAAGTTGGATTGTAAAATTATTTTTTTAATGAACCAACTGGTCAAGAAGAATGTTAATTATCAGGTATCAGTAATGAAAGAATGTTGGTACGAACTATATGTGGTAAGTCAAAAGGCAAGCAAAAAAAAACATCAGACCATCATAGTAAGAAAATTAGACAGTTTGCAGAAAATATTTACAATATTTCAAACCATGCCTTGACAAGTGGTCCATTCTGATAGTTAACATAATTATATGTGGCAAGTCAAAAAACATCCCAGATGAGACAAAAGCAACAAGCAAAAAAATCTATTAGGCAATCATAGTAAGAAAATTTGACAGTTTCCAGACCATATTTACAACAGTATATTTACAACATTTCAATGTGCCAAATGAAGACTTTAAAAGACTTAGTACACAGACAAGAATGACACTGTGTAGACTCACTGGGCCCATGCCTTGACAAGTGGTCCATTCTGTTAATGAGAAGACATGACACTGCAAACAGTTGATTAATGCTACCAGCAATGGACAAGGGGATGACTGCATCAAACAACTTATGTTCCTTCACCCGCCAGATCAGGCGTTCAACATGTACCCTGAGCCTGGCCACAGACTGAGTGTGTCTCAGCTCTCCGGCAGACATTTGTGTGCCCTTGGTCACAAAAGCAGGCCTGTGGATTGTGCATGGTACCAGGTTATCAATTAAGAAGCCCTTGTCCACCATTATGGCCATATCAGGGGTAAGGACGTCGATGATCCCGGATTGCTTGAACAGCTCCCGGTCACTGATTGACCCTGCATACAGTCCAGAGACAAAAGTTACTGCACCATGAGGTGCCATTCCTATCAAAGCCTTGAAGGTGCAGTGAGATTTGTAGTTGGAAAATACCTCACTCTGTAATAGCAGAGATGAAGGCATTTGGCAGCGGAGCTCGGTACAGTCCAGGATAACCTGGGTGTCTCGGAAATTCTTAAATTCCTCTGGCAGGTATTCTCGTACTCTCTCTTTCGGCAACCAAATTTGCACGGAACCTAAAAGAAAGTTCACCCAAGTGGTTATGATGCAGCTCACTGTAGTCTGATGGACATGGAAGCAATGAGCCAGGTCTTTCTGCTTGAGGCCCAAAGAAAGGTGCATCATGAAGAGGAAGAATTCATTGATTTTAGGAAGTGCCCGAGTCTTAACATATAGCCCAGTCTCCCTGGTGACTTTGGAGCTGGTGACGCGAATCATCCTGTATGTTGAAGGTTCAATCTGTTCCCAGAAGGCCATCATGTGTTTATAGGTTGCAAATCTGCAAAGAAATTTTTTTTTTCTTTTAAAACATTTAAGGCATAACACATGGTAGAATAATTAGGTAATTACTACAGTCTTAAACTGATTCTCAGATAATGAAACTACACTGACTTTGCACACACCCACCCCTCAACACTCACACACACATCCTGACACATTACACTGATAAACTATATAATTCTGGGATCAAGGTAGGTGGACTGACTGCGACAAAGTATTTGTGATACTTGTTGTGTATAAAGACATTCAGAACATGTTCAATGATGGATGGTAAAACCCTATTCAGAAATATGAGAGGTACGTGAGCGCAGCCCCTATAACGTTACCTTACAGTAGGCCTATGCCAGATAGGTATAGCCAACGTAAGGCTACAGCCTATGTACAGTTACAACTACATCCATAACTCGAAATGGTCATATAAAAAACACTTTACCATTGTGCTAATGGCTTACATAACAAATAATAATCACAAAATGGTTTTACCTTGTGTAAAAGCGAATATCCTCATCAGACCCTGCAAATCTCTGGAGGCCAAAGCGGCTATTCACCATGGCCTGCTCCAGCTGTTTCCGCAGATCTTCTATCTCTCTCTTCAACTCCTCATTTTCACATAGTGACAAGTCCAGAGCTGCAGGCTCCGGAACTGAACAATAATCATGACCGACTGTATGTCCATGATCAATTTCCATTTAGTTTTACTCCATATCTGATTCCGGTAGTGGTGGTTGCTCTCTTCGTTCCCAAACACTTAACCTCGGCGGCTGCATTTGGCGTTCACGGTTCCACTCAAATACTGAAGGGACAGCACCTTTTTTCAGACGCCTCCTACTTGTTCCTTCCACAAAATCATCTGGTTTGAAATGTACACTGCATACCTTTGTGTGTTTTGTGATTTGGAAGTTGATCCTTCTAATGTTTACAATGCATTTTTTCCTGATCTCGTCCTTCACCGGAAATGAATGAAAACTAGCACAGGAGTTGTAGCGTGAAGACACAGAGCACAGCGGGACACTACAGTGCTCCGATGCTGCCTTCATTTGCTTTTAACGTTGGAAAACCGTCTTTTCCATGGTTATGGAGAAGATATAAACTCGATTTAAAACTGTATAAAACTACGACGTTTTCTTTGTTGTTTTAGTGAGGGGGCATGACTCCCACACAGCTGATGGTTTCTCTTAGTTACCATACAAACCGGAAGCGTCCTTGCTGGTATAAAGTATGAGCGGAAATACATCACAATTCTCGTTGCTTAGAGCCCATTGGTTGTCGCTTGTGAAATTCACTGCTCATTTGCATAAAGTTAAACTATTATTAACTTTTGTAGCATGGCTTTGCCTACATTCGGTCGCTCATGTCGCCTGATGTCGCCAACACTCCACTGAAAATGAATGGGATCATGTTGCTTTGTTGCTGTGTGTCATTGGCAGTATGAATGGGGCTTTATAGTTGAAAAGCTTATCTGAATATGATCTCACACTTTTGGCACCCCATGCTGTGCATTTCAGCTGGAAACTGCAGCAAAATATGTAGAGGTAATACTGTTTTACAAAAATGCAGTCACCGCATATACTGTAGCTTTTATGAGATCAGACATCTCCTCAAACACATAGTCCAACCTAAGCACACAACCTGTTAATTTCTCCAGTAGCATTTCACAACAATTTCAAAGGACAAATGTAATGCTTTAACATTTGAATGATGTCAGACTGATATTTCACCACATTATCAGCTTTGTCAAGGTTGTTCTGGGGAAAGTGTGATCTTTTATATGTCAACAGCCAATTTCATAACTTCTTTGATTCAAGAAAAAGCCTAAAGTTTACATGCTAAACATGTAAATCATATAAAATATTATACACTAGTCTCCTGAACACTTTTAAAATAGTTGTTGCCTTTATTGTCACAGTCTTCAGTGGGTGTGCCCAGGATGGCCACCAGATGACACTGTTCTCTGTGAGCACATGGCTTGTGTTGTGTTTGTTTTGTGCCATGTGCTCTCTCCTGTCTATTGTGTTGCCCCTCCCATCTTATTACCTCGTTATTGTTTTAGTTGCTCCACCTGTGTCTCCCTCATTAGCCTCCTCGTTTGGTTTCCCATTTATTCTCCTGGTGTCTGTAATCCTGTGCTAATCCGTTGTTTTTTCATTGTGTGTGTTATGTCTGCATGTGGTGCAGTTTCGAGCCTGCCTGTCTG